TGGGTGTGGGTGTGGGTGGGTGTGGGGTGGGTGGGTGTGGGTGTGGGTGCGGTGGGTGTGGGGTGTGGGTCTGGGTGTGGGTGTGACTTTGATCAAGAGAAGACCCACACCCACACCCACACCCACATCCACCCACCCCACACCCACCCACACCCACACCCACCCACACCCACACCCAGACCCCACACCCACACCCACACCCCATACATACCCACACCCACACCCCACACTCACACTCCACACCCACACCGTCATACCCACACCACACGCACACCAACACCCATACACTGTCAATAGTGTGCTCAGTCCGAGACGTTTTGATTTCAATATAATTACAGTTTGTTGTGCGCCTACATTTCAAAATTTCATCACAATTTAGTTTTCTTTTTCATCAAGGTTAGATGAAGCACGACCATTTACATAATGGGAAGTAATATCACACATATTCAAAAGCAATTTGATAGTAATTAAAATTGTTTTGTTTATTACTCTCATAATTAAAAAAATGTTTTCGATATAGGACACATTTATTTTTCAATATGGGTGATATTGCTTTTCTCATGTAAATAGTTATGCTCTATCGGACCATGACAAGAAAACAAAATCAAACGCTGGTGAAATTTCGTTGTATAAGTCACATAACAATCTGGAAATTTCTTGCACATCAAACAGCTCGGTATGTTTATGCTATTGACAACTCTTATTTTTAGTTTGCTAGTTTGACAGTGAGAGTATTCATTTGAGCTGACTATGATCGATCTCATTAGTTGTTCTATCATTGTTTACTACGACATAACTTTGGAAATAAAGTATGAGTCGATGAAGAAAAAAGTGAAACATATTGTACACGTATGGCGGCTTGCTATCTCTTAGTTTGCAAAAAAATTAGATTTTGGATAAAAAAGGTTGTGATTTGTTTTCTGATTTTTAAGTTTTTCATCTGATAGCCCTGATGAACATATCAGGAGCGATTTGTTCTGCTTCTTTTTCAAATTCTTCACTGTAAAAAACAAGTAAAAAATGAATGTGTGATTCAGACGGAAGAAAAGCAATAGAGCTACTTTCTAATTCAAAAACAAATAAAAAATTCTGAACAAGTAAAATTTCAATTGACAAACCTTCAAATGGAATGATCGATTGCGAATTTGCCTCTCCCTCGGTTACGCCGCTGGCAATAATTCAAATTATCGATTTGTTGTCACTAATCGAGCCATAGATGCATTACTATGTGTGATTGATTCTTTTCCTTCTGTTTGTAAAAAATAAAAAAAATGGGATAGCTTTTCTACCAACGTAGCCAGAGAAATAAACGCATGATAAACAGTCTCTGACTTAACTCCATAAGTAAATATGTAATAGTTTTTGCACTTTTTTGACGTAGGTAATAGTGTAACCACTACACATCTGTAGTCACATTTATAGGATATTAAATTTACATTCTCTAGAGAATAACTAAGTGAAACTACTCTAGCATTAGTTTAGACACAAGAATGTGTAGTGTAACGAACTTTAAAAATCCTTGCTATGATACACTTGACTCAATTTTCAATACATACTTAGATCGAGGCAAGCTTAAGTCAAAGGAATATTAAAAGCACATTTTCTAAAATAGTGTTGATTTTGAACTCTAACTGATTTATTTTGATTATGTTTAGCAGGTTGGAAGAGCAATTATTATTATTGATTTCTTTCAGTTTGTCATAATATTCAGAAATGACTACAACGAGCTCTAGTAATGATGCAACTTCAACATCTCATGGAACTACTAACACATTTGAAGAATTGAAAATGCAATTCACGGCCATCTCAAAACAGTCTATCAATCCTGAAGATACTATAGATAAGCAGAAACAAATGTGGTTGCACTCTCTTGAATTATGGACAAAAATGATACATACAGTAGTGAAAGGAGCTGTACTTAATTCATCACCTTTCAAAACTTTTCAAGAGACACTTCGGACAATTATGTTGAAAGTTAATATCCAAAATCTATTATATATAGACGGTTCCATTGCTCATAAAACATTCTTCTGTTGTCTCAATTTACTGGATATGCCAGCTTTACATCAACATCTTCTCAGTGGTTGTAAAGCAGGCATATCTGATAATGATTTTTTGTGCGATAGTGTTACATGGTTACTTGTCCTCTGTTTCGAAGCACGTGCAAAAAACCCATTTAGTAATAACATATTAGAAAAGTATGAGATGCTTCTTGATGCGCTAAAAAGTAGAGTCGAGAAACGCATGTCAATCGATTCGTCGCAAAACGGACAAGAATTTGTTTGCCATTTTGAAGAAATTCTTGTTTTCTTCTGGAATATATCCGATCAAACAATCATCATTCCTTCAATGCTTCGTATTGGTTTAGCTTCTGGTGCTGTTCGATGGCTGGCTACTTGTGGTAATTTGTCTGTGGACGAGCGTCGACCGCTTATCAGCATAATATACAATATTGTACGACATGATGATGGATGCGATGAGTTAAATAAGCATAACGCTTTTGAGATAGTCAATGCATATCGAGAAAGGTGAGTTCCTTTCCATTTCGTTTCGCTCAATTGCAAACCATAATATATCCTTCTCATCGATTTATTGTGAAACGTACCTAGCTCACCGGTGAGATTTTTCATTGATTTATGTCGCGCAGAAATGCCAAGAACCTTTTTTTGACTGTAGGCACGGAATGGTTAGTCTTATAAAATTCGAATTCTGTAGAATCGCTTGTATAGTTTCGATATTTATTATATTAAGATTACAAAAATATTTGAATTGTTGGTTATTTTATGAATTTCATTATTTCTTTATTTTTTGAAATCGTTCCAAAAATATTTTCTATAGTGTTCAGTAGGAGGTACGACTGCCATATGATTTCCTATTTGCTAAGAGTCAGCAGAAAAGCTGTTTTCGAAACGAGATGAATTTACCTTGCGTGACTGTCCATTTTCTTATCGAATGATCATAAATAAACTGTGAGCGTACTCATTGTGAGATTGTTATGTCCAACAAAATAGAGCCACTGTAATCACAAAAAAAGAAATATAGCAATACTTTTGAATGTTTTTCTAAGAAAATTCAACACTAGCATATTAAAAATACTTCGAAACCATCATGCTATGTGACCCATTCATCCAAAAAGCTATTCACACCATTGTAAATCACGATAAGCATTCTATTTTGTCGCACGATGGGGATATTCATTTTTGTTCACTATTTAATGAAACACTACTTTAAACCAGTGTATCAAAAAAGTAGCGGTGAATTTCAATGAAGAGCTCAATTATTTTCATAGATTCAAGCATTTGCCTTGGTTGCTCAACCATTTCATTATATTCATTCTACTTGTTTATAATCATGTTGTTACTTTTGTTTTGCATGTGCTATTCGTTTTTCCCATTTATGTAATGATCACTAGAGGATGAAATGATACATGGATTTGTTAACATCTATAAGGTGTCATCTTATTTCTGGGATTCTTTTGTCGGCCCTCGAAATCTAAACATTATACTACTTTGGAACGATGTCGCAGCGAATTCTTCACATTAGTCATGCATTTTGGTCTAGTTCGCTTAAATGTAGAATGATTTAGTACACATCATAAAATAAAACTCGATCAGGGTAA